CTGTTTGCGCTTGGTATCATCGAGAACAAAGACAACATCACCCATAGCTAAAGGGCGCGACATGGTCTGTTGGTGCTTGTTCAGCTGACTTAGGTACTCCACCTCCCAACGATTCTTGACATGCTCCAGTGTCCGACTGAGGTAACGCAATCTCGATGACATCTGCACAGCGTCCAGGGTACCTGCTGGCTTCTCTGACGACATCCAGATGTTACCCATCATCATTGCAGGGGTTACTGGTGGCTCATCCAGGCTATCAGACACATAAGTTAGCGGACGACTATTCACCACTGCTTCAACCTCATACAAGAGGGTCTCAAGCTCCTGGACCTTCAGAAACGCTGTTCCCATTACCTTTTTCAAGGCACTCTTCACTGTACTAACCATTCTCTCATACAAGCCTCCATGCCATGGTGCAGCTGGAGGATTGAACATCCATGGCACACTCAGTTTGTCAGATGCCGCCTTGAACGTTGTAGCGTTGTCAGACCTGATCCGAGACGGCAAACTACGTCTCGCGACAAACTTCCGAAATGCGATCAAGAATGACTCAGTACTTAAACTATCGACCACCTCCAAGTGAACTGCTCTGGTGGTGGCACACACAAACAATGCTATCCATACCTTCGGAGATGACTCACCACGGCGCACGTACAACGGACCAGCATAGTCGATGCCGGTAGTTGCGAACGGCCTCTCGTGAACAACTCGGTCTTCCGGCAGCGGCGGGCAGACTTCTGAGGCAGCCTTAGCCTTGTAGCGGCGGCATGTAACACATCGCTGAGTAATGTTACGTAGCGCCCGTCGACCACCGATAATCCAGAATTTCTGACGGATGAACGACAAGACTCCTTCTACACCTTGGTGCATCCTTTCAACATGCATTTTCTCCAACAGCAACTCGGTCAGATGATGTTTGCCTAACAGGACTGGGTGCTTGGCTCCATACGCCAACTCGCTGTGCTGAAGTCGTCCCCCGGCTCTGAGCACTCCATGCTCATCCAGAAACGGTGCAAGCTGATACACCTTCGACCCAGGCTTCACTGGTTGACCTTGCTTGATCAGCTCAAGATCCTCAGCGAAACATGCGGCTTGAACGATGCGGTACAATACGTTGTCTGCTGCAAAATAGAGTTCAGCACGAGGCTCAGTGTGCTTCCACTGCAACATCCGAGTCACCATGCCCTGTGCCCTCGACCATTTACTGAATCGGAGCCACCATTCCTTATCAGATTCTCGACTACAGGTGGTGGCTGACACTCGTACTTCTACACTGGACTCATCTGTAGCTGCGGTTGAGGATGCGGTGGGCCAGTCATTGGGCGCCGTGATCCAGGTTGGTCCGCCCCTCCAGAACGGACTACGGATCTGCTGTGCACTACTCCCACGCGACGGTAAATCTGCTGGGTTGTGAAGGCCCGGGCAATGGTTCCACACAATGCCGACCTTTTTCGATATCTCTTGGACTTGACTGACGCGGTTAGCCACAAATGTTTTCCATTTGTACGATGGATTACTGATCCAATGAACGGTAGTGAGACTGTCAGTCCAGCCATAGACTTGCGTGACGGTCACACGCAGCTCCTTCAGCACAAACTCAGCGTAGCGAGCCGCTAAACATACTGCTTGTAACTCAAGGCGGGCTAACGTGGGTGGAGACACGGGTACCACTTTGGCCTTGGCAAATACCAAGTGCGACTGTCCATTGGCGACTGCATACAAACAACATCCAAACGCTTTCTCACTGGCATCGGCGAAGGCATGAAGCGCAATCGGCGTGTCAAGATTGCAGCAAATCCAACGTGGTATGTCAATGCTCACCGCTTCGGCCAACTCTCCCCACCATTGCGCGCATGCGGCTGCGATGCCATCAGGCAACTTATCATCCCAGTCGCCTCCGACTTTCCAGGCTTGCTGTAGCAGTATCTTTCCCGGCACAATTGCCGGTGCTGCTAGACCTAGCGGATCAAACACTGACGCAACACACTTGAGGAGGGATCGCCGGGTCCAAACAGACGGCCTATCGGACTCGCCTAGCGCTGCTATGCTGAGCAAGTCATCACTGGTTTTCCATTTCAGACCGAGAACTTTATCTCCGGCCTCTGGATCGCACGGGATTTCGTTGCCTCGCCACTTGCGTAACTCCATGCCAGCATCCGTAAGCACACGCACGCTGAACTCTTGCATCTCCTTAGCTTCCGAGGCATTTGAGACACTAGAGACCAAATCGTCAACGTAGAAACTCATGAGCAAGAGATCAATACGATCTCGCTCTTTGGGTGCAGACAACGCCCGTAGCTCCTTCAAGTGATGCTGAATCACCGCAGTAAGCATGTATGGCGAGCAGTTTACGCCAAATGGCAGTTTCGTTAGCCTCCAGGTTAACAGTTCATCGCTGTCGCTTCGACCGGGCCACAAGAAACGCAGGTACGGACGGTCTTCGGGAATAACCGCGACCATGAAGAAAGCCTTGCGGATGTCCGCTTGCAGCGCGCTCTTATATTCACGGAACCGTAATAGCATACCTGCGAGACTCGGCAATAGCGACGGTCCAGGGTCAACCATGTCGTTCAACGACTTGCCATCTGGCGCCGTCGCCGAGGCATTGAACACCACTCTTAACTTCGTGGTTGCAGCGTGCTCGCGGAATACACCATGATGCGGTACATAGTACCCGGCATCGCTCTCACATGGCTCCAGCTCAATTGCTCCAAGCTCGCGGTACTCCCTGATCAGCACATCATCATAGAGCGCACGCTTCCCATTCCTCTTCAGCTTTTCAAGAAGCCGCGTTGCGATGACTCTAGCTTGAGCATAGTTATCCGTTGGGCGACGCTCATTTCGCCACAAGAGACCCACTTGGTACCCGCTGCCCTGGCGACATAGCGGGAAAGATGGCAGGTGCTGATGTTGTTCTGGAGGTTCATCCAACTGCCATAGTTTGTCGATGTGGGCTGTGACACATGACACGGTCACCGGCTGACTGTTACGACTTGGTGCAGACGCTGGACCAGATAATACATTACCTATCTCTGTGTTCCACACCGTCTCACCATTAACTTCCTTCTTGCTGTGCAGTACCGCGTTGATATAGTCTGCACCAATCAGCATATGTATTTCGTCTGATGTCCCTTGTTGAGGCTTGTCACTCAGCTCTACTCCCCAACTGTGCCACTGCGCAATGGTCTGCGGACTTGCGCACTTCAGGTCCAGCTCTAGCGTTGGTTTCACGAACGCGCGTACCCGAATGCTAGCGGAGCTACCCTGGATCGTGATGGCGTACTTATCCATGCGCTGTTGGGTTGGTTCGCGCCGAACGGCTTCACCTCTACATTTTCAACCCCAACGTGTTCTGCATCGATTGCTGACACCAACGCTGCAGTCACGAATGACGCCTCCGCACCCGAGTCCAGGAACACGCGAACCTTCGCGTTTCGAGTTCTTCCCTCAACTCGTGCCACTCCGGTCATCAGCCGCACACTTGGCGAGTGTAGACAGCACGATCCAACATTCTTCTCCGTTACTATCTCAGTCGGTTTCTCCCGGCTGTAACCTGCTCTATCCAACACATCATGTATTAGCAGGTGGTGTTTCCTCTGGCATTTCGTGCATCTCGCGCCTGACCGACATTCTCTGGCCATATGGCCATACTTAAGGCAGTTCCAGCAGAGTCTCTCTCGCTGCAGAAAACCCTTTCTCCCTTCCTGTGGCAGCGACTTTAGCTGCTTCTCTGCATCTGCGACCGATATCGCCATGCACTGTGCCGACGCCGTGGGCCTTGGCACGGATCGTTCTACTGGCTTCCTGGCAGTATCACCCTGTCGTCCGTGTGCGACCTTGTAAGACGCGCCGTGCTCCTGTACCTGGCGCAGAGACATCCCGTAGCACTGCCGTTCGACCAGGTACGTCTTCATCTCAGGTCCGCATTGCTCCAAGATTACCTGCTTTGCCATTGCTTGCAGCACCGGGGCCATTTTACCTATATCGGCGCTATACTTGGTGTCCACCTCGCCATCTTCTGTCATAGCGAGTGTGGCCCACACCTCTACCTCTCGGCAAACACGGACAACGTATTGATGAAACGACTCATCTGACCGCTGCTTGCCGGTCAGCAATGTCTTCCACGCTTTATTCGGAGTCTTTCCGAGTGAGGCAAGCAACTCTCGTTTTGCTTCCTCGTAATTATTGCATCCAATACATATCCTCTCCGCTTTGCTACCCGCTAGCGCGATGCGCAGTCGCAGCAGCCATTCGCTTTCTTCGAACTCGTTCTTGGAACAGATGTCCTCGAACAGGTCAAGATAACGCTCCAATGGCTGCGTTCCATCATATGAGGGGATTTTCATCAACGGTTGACGCCCCCCGCTGTGACTGGGAGATTCCTCTGTACCTCCCATCGCGGCTTTACCCTCACCCTCATGCGCATTGGCGATGCGCTCGTTAATCTCGTGTAGTGTTTTGGCAAACTCGGTGCGGAGCGCCTCCTCTCGCCGTCTGGCACTGCGCTCCTCACGCTCCGCGTACTGTTGGAGCCTCTGCTCCACATGTACCTTCAACAACTCGCCTTCTAATCCTAACCGCTCTCCATTGTCGATAAAGCTGGCTTCCAAATTGTTCCATAGTTCCTCTGCCATGCTCGCTCCTATCCTGGCGTGGTCGCCAAATGTTATGAACCCTCTAAGATTCTCTAAATTGTCAGGATCGTACGACCACACGGCACGAGGACAACTCTTTTCCTTTACACAGTATATTTCACTTCATCTGATAATTAACAATGAACACTAATAACACCAGCTATTTATAGCATGCAAAAACAGCGTACATGCAAAACATAAGCATATAAAACTGGACATAACAGCGTATACAGCAAAACGCACACAACGCATATAGCGTATGCCATGCAGCAACATCAGCGGTACGGCGGAGTCGAAATACAACATTTCAACGAATACAATGCCATAAGCGCGAAGGCCTTTCCCAATTGAGAACTGGTGGTTTACAACAGTGGGTAATGATTACGTGCATCGATCATTGACATTGTGCAGCACCTTACAGCAATAAACCAGACAAAGCAGTACAATACCATGCAGAAGATGAAATGCTTGACGGAGTATAATTAGTAGCAAACAAACTGTTACACAATGGAGCAACATTATTTGCTAAAATGGCATATTTTATTACTTTGACGAATACCCTCCACATAACATTCCCGCTACAAGCATTACCAACTCTACTGTCCCTGATGCAGGACTAGTGGCACACATTCCTACTGCATACCCCAAAGCTAAGAAAGGTGGCATCATGCTCATGTGAGCCAGTTGGGTACCACCCAAGCTCTGCACCGGGCTCTGTCCAGGTGCCTACACACAACCCTGGAGGACGAATGCAACCCCAAAACACGATGTAGTAAAAGGGCAAGTCCATGGACACAGCTGTCAAAGTTATCCACCAAATTGACCTACAGCAGGCCAATGTACAGTGGAGGAGAGTACCGAGAAACTAAGAATAAAGGACTTATCGTCTGTTTGTCAGACTATCTGTCCCCGGGGAAAATCGCGATTCCGCGGCCGCGTTTTTTCCCCGCGTTTTTTTGCGATTTTTAAAAGACCACGTTTTCCGCGATTTTCCCGCGTTTTTTGAACTTTTTTGTTGCGCTACACGTACACAAAGTGCACAGTTCGGTTGACCGTTGTGAGCCGTTGACGTCAAGTAGTGAGTCTACGTGTAGGGCGCGCGCTCCATAGCATACACATGGCACATGACCTGCTCCCCGGTAAAACTGCCTCATATTAACTGCAAACTTGCCGCATATCAATAATATTCACCGCAAATTCACCGCAAATGATGCCATATTTACCCGCAAATTACACCTCAAATTCTGTGATTTTTTCCGCGATTTTCCCTGGGGACAGGACTATCTACCCCAAGCTATGGTCATGAGGGTGGACAATACTGTATGGTGACAATTCCACCTCGCTCTCGTTTTCTCCCCTGGAATGAAGCTTCACACACATACATGTACCTGTAGTACCTGTGGTGTCTACAAGTAGTATGAACAGTCCTTCACGCACTCCACTGCTTTCTATAAAAGCCTGTCTTATGCAGAAGCCTGTTCTGAACACAAGCCTGAGTTTCAAGATATGCAGTTAGCACAATAATGTGGATTTTGCATCGGCAACCATAAAAAGTTTGGTTTGACTACAAACATAATGCAACATAATGTAAATAGAGGCCTAGCCACCACACCGGCTTCTACAGAAATACGCCTGGCTTTCATACACGACATTACAGTAAGTCATCCAGTTCGCACTCACCCACTTCAGTTGCTGCTTGCAGACGTATTAGACGCATACAGCCAGTCAAGTACGCTTGCAGGGATCTTTTCTCAACGGGGAGTAACGGCTGGCCATAATACCTACAATGGTGAACATAGCAAAAGGGAAGGGCATTCAAGACCTGCAGCTCCATGTATACATGCCGAGTGTGAGCGTGGTGTCTGTGGACAAAATCGACAAAGAGGTACCCTGGCAACAAATGTAGTGCCAGGATGCCAGCAGAAGGCTACGTGGCACACCAGTCCAACATGTAAATCAACTACCATCCACTGGTCACACTAGCCCAATTGATGCAAGTACCACAGTTGAAGTTCCATGGCCATTTGCCTGCCACATGCCAATCACAACAAGCACTGAAGAAGAAACTGAGACGAAGCGACGTCAAAGCAAAACACTAACACAGACAGGCGGGTTCCACACACAGTGAAACTTCAGTATGAAGTAGTACCAAGAGTCCATGGATGGCGGTGCCGTAAAACCTACAAGTGGAATTCAGCTACACTGGAATTGTTGTCTCTGATTATCGCTTAATTTAAGCAACAAAATCTACTATCAACTACCCACCTCTTCAAGGTAGGGATTGTGAAGAACCAATGACCCCTAGTCATGGTGTGAGGCTCTGACAAACATCTTGCAGCAGTCAGACAGCCTGTCACAGACCTGACAAAAGGCTGTGGGTGCATTTGAGGAGACTGAAAAGCAAGAAGCCAGCAACGAATTGGACCAAGATTGAGTCAATGTGCACACAGGTGATGCGTGCATGTCCTTGTTTACTGGAATTATGGCGTATATGCTAGAAACATGGAATGCGCTACGAATTCTGACCTGAAATACACAAATATACACATTTGCCTGAGTTTCAATGAGCATGGATAGACGTGGAACACAATACTTCCACTGAAAATGGTGATATACCGGAAACACAATCCATCTGCTGCTACATGGGCGAGAAACTATTGTAACCTGGGATATTTTGAAACCTAGGTGTGATGAAATGTCACTTTCGTGGATTTTACACGTATCACAAAAAAATTCTTTCATTTCGTGCCATTTGAGTTAGCAGTAGGTCTGGACATAGACATGACCAGATCTTTACACAGGTTGGTTGGGACTATCTTTCTGCTATCTCGGATATTGTGTAAGATGTGATGGAGTCCATTACTGGCTGAACACCAAAGGAGGGAGGAAATTTCTACGACTGTACTGTAAGAAAACGACAACACGAAACTTCCCAATGGCTCAATAGCTGACCCCAAAAATATCACGGATCACTTTAGTACTTACTCAAGTCACATCGAATTCCTTATCGGCGGGCTCCAGGCTGTGGAACGCCTCCAGTGGGTCTGAATGTTCGACAACGTCAGCCATTACTTCTTCACGGAATCGTCATCTTCACCTCTGTACAAAATGAGCTGACCGGGATAATAAAAAAGGGCTTTTTTTCGCTCTGGCGCATGGACTGGTTCGAGTTGCTGTTGCTCGACTTCGTTTTCTGATCTATTTTCTGCATTCAATGGTGGCCGTGATGGCTGTCGCTGCAATAGCAGCTTCAGCCACGACGGGCCTCTATCGGTTGCTCTGCCGCCATGTTGGACGCCATGTTTTAGACGTGTCTTTTCCTGGCCAAAGTGCTGGTGATTTTGTGTTCTTTTCTTGTTCTCTCTCCTTTTCCTACTTGCATTTTTCGTGATTCATACATTTCAACCAAGAGGCTGCCGTTTGCGCTGGTGTGTTGTGTTGGGCGAAGAGGGGTGATAGAGAGACTAGATAGCTCCAGTTCTCCCACAACTTTGTGGTGCCGAAACCCAGGAAAGAGTCAGGAAAGTGTTTTCGGAGTACGAGTGTCGTAGTGATTTATTTATTTTGTGAGACGAGAGTTCTTACTGTGAGTTCCTACTGTGTGTTCGTGGAATACTCGAGTGAATCATGTCTACCAAGTATCTTGTCCAGCCGTTTTCTGGCAAGGATGGTGAAGACCTAGAGGAATTCTGGGCAAAGTTTTTAGTTTTGGCCACTGCCAAGGAATGGTCCGACGAAGATGCACGCATGCAACATCTACCCTTATATTTGCAGGGCGATGCATTTCGAGTGTCACAAAGTTTCTCGTATGGCAGAGAGTGACAAAAGCAAACAAGCAGAGGCCAAGAAAGTTTTAGTGAGTGCGTTCAGTGTGACGCCGTCCAGAGCGTATGATTTGTTCAAGCGCCGTTGTTTGCGTGTGGATGAAAGTGTCGACGCGTATGTGGCCGATTTGCAGCGTTATGCAGCGCTGTCGGGGCACAAACCGGGTGGTACCGCCAGCAAGGATCCGATTGTGATCGAGCAACTGATCGCTGGCCTACACTACAGCCCGAATTTGGCCGCCAGCTGAGAATGTCGCTGGCTGGCCAAGAGTTTTTTTTTTTTTTTTACTGAATACCACAGTACCATCAGATGCTGCACAGCGGGGGCGGTGGCATATTGGATGGAAGTGGGGGCGGGGCAAAAGTAACTCCTCCGACCAAAGGTCTCGGAATCATCATTACTCCTGTGCGCCGATACATAGGAGAAAAGAAACATGTGCATCCAAGAGGGGAGCACCGGCTTTGCAAACGATAATGGGGAGAATTTGAGATTGGGATAGGACAAAACAATAGTAAAAGCAGTGCACCGTAGGAAGATGGAGTGAACTGATAATCAGATTTTAAGGCTGAGCGAAGGGGATCAAAGAGGGGTAGAAGGGAGCTGGAGTGCGGTCAGTATAATTAGGCTGGTGTGTTGGCAGAGATCATAGCCTGTCTGTGGCCCACTCCCACTTGCTGCTTGACGTTTTTCTTGAATGTGTGCATACCTCTGCGAGAAGGGGGAGACTGCAGAAGGGTAGGTGGGAGCTGATTCCACGTTGCGATGAGGGAGTGGGGAAATGAGCGGAGCGTGTTGTTTCATGTCTGAGGAGGAAGAATACTGGTGAGTTGCGATGGATGATGTGTTGCAGATCTGGTTGTCTCACGAGTAGACATGCGGCATTGCGGTGCGGCTGCTGATGGTGGCAGAATGGCTTTCACCATTTCCGGACCCTCCACAAAGTGCAGCTTGTACAGAAAGCAGAGCCCTGCTACGGTACGGCGAATGTCGAGGCTCGGGAGGTATGATCCATCTCCAATTATGTGCAGGGCACGGCGCTGGATGGCAGTGAGGCGGGCCAAGGTGGTGGGGGCTGCGCTCATCCACACCAGCATGCCATACTCTAACACAGGGCGGACAAAGCCACGGTACACGATTGCCCGGTGCTTTGGGTCTAGCACAGCCGATGCCTTACGGAGGAAGCCGAGCCGCTGGGCGCCGCGTACTGCAAGCTGTCGGATATGGCTGCGGAATGCCAGCTGCCTGTCGAAGGTGACGCCAAGAAGCTTGAGCTCCTCTACTTCTGGCACGACTGCTCCTTGGAAGCGTATTGCGTTCGGGGGGGGGGGGGTGGCGAGCGGTGGTGGCTGATGGTCAATGCCTGCGACTTTGTGGGCTCAAACTTGATCCTCCACCTGCTTCCCCATGCTGCCAGTGAGTCTACTGCCTGCTGGAGGATTGCTGTCTCTTCTGGCAGTCTGAGTCGCGTGGTGATGCACTTGTAGAGAGTTGTGTCGTCGGCGTATACAGCCAGCTTCGCCCCATCAGGCAGGTGGTCTTCTGCGTCGTTGACGTACAGAAGGAAGAGGGTGGGGCCGAGGATGCTGCCCTGTGGCACGCCAGATTGGATTCGGTGGGTCGGTGAAGACTGGCCACCTATGACGACACGGATGTGGCGGTCTGTCAGGTAACTCCGGAGCCAGGCAAGGAGGAAGCCACTTATGCCGCACCGCTCAGCCTTGTGGAGGACGCCGTTGTGCGAGACCTTGTCGAAGGCCCCGGCAATATCTACTGCGAGTACCCTGACGAGGCCTCCACTGGCAGCTGCAAGGCTCCACTCATGCTGAAGAGCAATCAGCAGATCAGAGGTTCCCAGTCCAGTACGAAAGCCAAACTGCCTGTGAGAAAGGATGTCATTCTTCTTCAGGAAGTTGGACAGGCTGCGGTTCACGATGGACTCCATACACTTAGACATTATGGGCAGTAGTGATATCGGTCGGTAGTTTCTGGGGTTCGACTTGGGGCCTTTCTTGTGTACCGGTACGACGTTGGCAACTTTCCACATGGCAGGTTGATGACCACTGCGGAAGCACAGGGTAAACAGCTTGGATAGGGGCAGGGCCAGAGAGTCGGCACATTTTCTCAGCACTCTAGCAGGTACTGCATCAGGCCCTGTGGCTTTACTTGGGTTCAGGGCTCGGAGTGTCCGGCGTACGGTGGCTTGGCGGAAGTGGACTGTTGCAAGCGTATTTGCGGTGCGCTGGCGGACATGCGGGAACGGCCCCGACTGTTCTGCAAAGTCATCGTCTAGGCTGCACTTCTGGGCAAAGTACTTCCCGATGACGTTAGCCTTGTCGTGGCTTTTGGTGCATTCCATGCCATCGGGGTCAACCAGGACTGGGATGGAGCTGTCCCGGCCATGCCCTCCAACTCGTTTAATCATGCTCCACCACTCTCTGTCCTGCAGGCTGCCCGTCCGGAGCCGTTGCTTGACATGGTCGAGATGTCTGGCTTTGGCTCTTGCTAGACATCTGTTGAGTCAAGGAATGCTAGCTTGTACGTACACTGGAGCGCTCCATTTCTGGGGTCATCGCGGAATTTCCGCCAGGCATTGCGCTTTCTGTCAACTGCTGCAGAGCATTCTGGCGTCCACCAGATTGGGTCCTGCGGTCTGGTCTTGAAGACCTTGGATGGTATAAAGCGTTACATTCCCTCAGTGATTCGCATGGTCAGAAGCTCACATGATATGTTAGGGTCGTCGCCGATTATTGTGTCCCAGTCAGTAGTCCGGAGGAAGGCAGAGAGGCGGGGCCAGTCAGCCCGCTGGTATCGCCATACTGTACGAGTGGTGGGTTGGTCTACAGATGCAGTAAGCTGGAAGTCGGCTATGACAACAGCATGGTCTGATCTGCCAAGAGGTGGTTGGGTGGTGGTAGACACAGTTCCAGGCACATCTGACATGACGAGGTCAAGGATGTTTTCTCCACGGGGGGCTGAGGTGACGTGTTGTCGGAGACCATGTACACAGCACATGTCTTCTGCAGCTTTTCCAGCAGCCGAGGTGCGTGGACTTCCAAGCCATTCCCGGTTGTGGGCATTGAAGTCCCCTGCCACAATAATGTGTGAGCAGGACTGCCGGGCTTTGTCGATGTCAGATTCCAGCTGGGTGAAGATACTGCAGTCGCTGTCTGCACTCGTCCCAGGTCTGTAGGCAGCACAGATGCCAAATCTCATGCCTGACGGTGCAGCAACACTAATCCAAAGAGTTTCACACTCAGAGTTGATGTCCAGTTGTTTGTACGCCATCCCTTCTTTCAGCCATATGCGCTGTCCGGTCTCGACGTATTGGGGGGGGGGGGGGGGGTAATAGCCAGGGATTGAGACTTCCGCAACTGTAGCCTTGTCGGGCAATAGTTTGGTCTCGGTGACGACAGCGATGTCTACATGCAGGCTTTTCAGAGTATGCTGAAGCTCATCCATTTTGTTGTAGATGCTGGATGCATTCGTGAGCAGAAGACGGAGTGAGGGGGCCTTAGTTTTCATTGTGACCGTTGGCGTTGTTTGGGTTGGTGCATGGCCTACATTGGGTGGTGGGCTCGTGGGTCTGTGTATCCTGCTGGGGTGGCTGCGCACCATGCTGGTCAGCTCGTTTTGCATCCTGCGGCAGCGAATCTGGTGACCGTTCTGCAGAGGAACGTTTGTGGCTGTGAAGGGGGGGGGGGGTTACAGGTGTGCCGGCAGCGGCAGCGGACAGGCCACGACTCGCGCTCAGGAAGTCGTTAATTGTGGCGCCAATCCCAAGTTGCTGTTGCTCTTGATTATGCTGCTGTGCTTCCAGCTGGTTTGTGCTACTGTCGCTACTGCTGCTGCGGCGACTGCTGGTGCTGCTGCGGTGACCACTGGTGCTGCTGGTGCTGCTGCGGCGACTGCTGGTGCTGGTGCTGCTGCTGGTGTTGTTGTTGGCGTTGTTGCTGCTGCTGCTGTTGTTGTGCTTGTTGTGGCTGCTGCTCTTGCTGCTGCTGATGCTTTTGGCCGCAATTGCATTTGTGGAGGTGTGGAATCTCCACGACCTGCAGTAGAGCGGCCTTGGCCAGAAATTAGCTGACATCACTGTCAGCTTGCAGGTGGCATCAACTGATATCCTGGCGGACACTTTCCCGTTTCCGGCTGTGTGTAGGCTGCATTGGTGGGCTTTGACAGGCGTCCCCACGCTTTCCGACCTACGGTGTACAAACTCAGTGAGGCTGTCCACCGTACAGTCGGGGCTCAAGTTGCCCACAAAGAACACCGATCGCTTCTTTCTTGGCGGGCCCGCGGCAACTAATTTCCAACTGTCATCCTTGATGACGGCCAGGATA